TCTATAGGTATGGTCTTTACAAATCGAATGGTATATGTCTCATTGCTGTAGCTTGAAAACTGTAGGAGGAGATTGGTTTGCCGTGCGACCAATCGGAGGTATTCAGGACGCCCAAAAAACTGCCGGGCGGCACGTAAAATGACATAAAAGGGTCGTAACATAGCCAACATACCGCAACCAAGCCTTAAAACTAAGTGAGGAAGGCATAGAGCAAGTGGCTGCACACCTTTCACCTCGCTGTCATGATGGGCACTGAAAGACCTGGCTGCATCTGGCAGTATATCAAGTCATGCCCCGTAATTAATGCCTTAGGAATTTGTTAAGGCCGCCCCCCACCGCCCTTCATTCCATGGGGCGTGGTGAACATAAAAATGGAGGTAGAAAGATGATTCTGCCACCAATGGAATCGTCAGAAAGTAAGCTTTAAGATGAGTATGAGCACAGATGATTCTGCCACCAATGGAATCGTCAGAAAGTAAGCTTTAAGATGAGTATGAGCACCGGATAATGCCATGATTGGCCGCTTTACGTCAGATGTTCCTTTTTAGTGTGTCCACCCTTCTAATTAATCCCATAGGCTTTACTGAAGGGCTCTAAAAACTCCCTCCCTTCGGGGGGCTGTTACGAAATCATTTTTCGACGTATAGGGATGATTCTGGTACAGTTGGATGCATCAAAAACTAAGCTTTAAGATGAGCACAAAAACCGGAAAACGCCAAAATTGAAAATTTTAGGATAGTCAGTCTTCTTAAACTCCAGAAGAACAGACAGGCCAGGGAATAGCCTTTAGAAGAACGGCTGGAGAGGTAGCAGTGTACAGATAGTTCTGTGGCGCAGGGCGTTCTCTATCGAAAGAGGTGAAGGAGCTAGGCTGAATGGAATAGAAATATTTTGGGGTTTAGCGTGTGGGTTACGACCATTGTTTTGGCAGCTTGCGGCTCATTGGCTTGTTGGTTTACATCCATGAAGGGATTTAGTCCCTGTTACTTTCAGCAAGTAATCATGTTGGCTAATTTGCTCTGCAGCATGCTTGCGCATGGGGTGAAGTATGAAAATTATGCTGAGCTATTTCAGTTGTCCCCAGTCTGTCACCTGACACCAGGATTGAAAATTTCCTACTTGTTACTGGAATTTTCTGGCTCCAAAGTGACAAATTTTTGTTAATACATGTGGAATCTAGCAGTGCATTTTTGTTAACAATTATAGATTATTAATCTGGGACTAGTGAGCAAAATATCTGCTCTTTAAACCATAACTCAATTTTTTGAGCCTTGGTTTTATGGATTTGCAAGCCACAATTCCACTTCATTGAGCTGTGAATTCCATATCTGGGCCATGTAGAGCCATTTATGAGCAGCAAACTTATTTACAAAGTCCTGTGCACATGTTACCCAAAATCTCTGATTTTACCCTGGTAACAGGCTAACAGCATCAGTAATGTTTGTCTTACTTTAGTGGCAACTATCACATGATAATGCTTAATGCACTCTGACATGACTGCAACTATGCAATCTTCAACGAAATGTTTTGGGCGGACTTGTTATCATGACATTATGCAGGATATTTTGGTGGGAGCGTTGAAGTACTACTGTGGAAGCTGACAATTTTATTAAATGACATATTTGCCAAGTGCAAACTGCAATTTCTTCAATCAAACAAAAATACATGAAATTAGATACACAAGATTTTATACTACTGAAATTATATAATATCAGAGCCACAATATTTCATAAACAAGTAGGACTTTTCCCAACTAGATCTAGGACTAGGGCCCCTAGTCCTAGATTAATTATCTCTTAATTCCCCTAGAATAAGGGGAATTTTGCAGTTGTGAAAAATTTCTGGAAAGTTCTATTCAGGGGCTCAATGCTTGAAATTGGGTTTTCTACACTAGCCTCAGTGTTGAAAACATCTTAACTAATTTTCATTAGTGAAACTTTTACCAAAATCTTGTTGACTACCGGTACTGAATAAGTGACAATTATACAGCTGAACTGGGTAATCAGGCAGAAGCCAGTGCTGAATGAGTAAGAAAATGCCTGTCCTTCAAGCTTTCACAGTACAGCAGAACAGGGTGTAAAAGCAAGTTTTTAAATATTTCAATACAATATTAGCTAAATGACAGCCTTACTGCACTCACAAGGCCATATGGGGTCACAGAGAAGAGAGGGTGCAGTTAACAGGTTTTCATTGTAGTAATTCAATGCAATGCTGCAGTGTAGGAGACTAACCTGTAAAGTGTGATAACTTTTCTGCTACGTATCTGAACTTTGAGACTGCAAACTCTTGTCAGTTACAAAAAGCCTAATTTCACTCAGTTCTGCAGGTTAGGGGAGTCGTCTTAATCCAGGAGGTGCATGGCAGAAGACTTCATCTTCAAGAAGCAAACAAACCTTTCAAGGCCTCAAACAGTAATGCTGCGATGCAGCTGGTGTCCAATTATAATATTAATAATAGCAGTTTCTGACCACTATTATTTGAAAATTGAAATTTTTCAGTCCTAACTATATCCTGGGTCTGCCATATTCATGGTAATGGATGTTTGCTATATAAAATAAATTGGTTTCTAGGAGACATTTCTTTTATAATGAAGCTTAATATCATCTATTAGTTTATCTATTTTGTATTGCAGAAGTCTAAGGTGTCTAAATTTGCTATTACTTATGGCAGTAGATAGAAATGCAATTGTAACCCTTCATGAAAAGAGTGAGAGAAATTCAGTCATTGCAAAAAAGCTCCAAATTCATCGTGAAACTGTGTTGAAGGTGGTAAAAACTTCAAGGAAACTGGTGAAACATGCAATCAACCTGGTCAAGGAAGGAAACAAAGTGTCCAAACGAAACAATTGGTCAAAAACATGAGGGAGAAGTTGAGGAGAATCCCTCATCGCTCAGCTGCAAAATTGGCTGCAGAAGCAGGAGTCAGTCAGACATCAATGCGTAGAGTCCTCAAAGATGACCTCAAAACCTCCCCTTACAAGATGCAAACAAGGCAAGAACTAACAGACCATCATGGATGAATGAGACTGGAAAGATGCCAGCACATTCTGGATCTCATTGAGAATGACACACTGCCCAACTTGGTGTTCAGTGACGAGAAAAAATTTGACATTGAACAAAACATTAACTGTCAAAATGACAGAGTTTGGAGTCTGGATGGATCCGTGGCAACCAGAACAGCAATACAACGTCAAAATACCATATCCATGAAGGTTTGGGCCGCAGTAACCACCACTGGGAGGTCCCCACTCGTTTTTGTCCCCTCAGGAGTGAAATTGAACAGTCAGCATTAGTACATTTTGGAAGCTGTATTGTTACCTTGGGCCAGTAAACACTTCAACGGCTCACCATGGAGTTTTCAACAAGACTCCCATCACATGGCTCAAACATGACCCAAAACTGGATTCAGGGTCACATCCCAGCATTCATTAGCAAAAATTAATTGCTCTCAGGAAGCCCTGATTTGAATCCCCTAACTTTTTTGTGTGGGCTATTTTAAAGAGTACCGGTAGTGTCTGCAGAACACCTCATGATTCTTTGGATAGTTTGAAGTCTAAATTGACACAAGAATGGGACTTGATCCCACAAGAAGTGCTGCATGTCTCCTGTGAAGCTTTCCTGCATAGATTGGAGCCGTCATTAAAAATAAGGGTGGTCATATTGAATAATCATGTCTGAGAATTTTTTAGGTAATTCTTGGCTAAGTAGCTCATCCAATAAAAAAACAATGCACCTGTTTGTTTCATTGAGAAATAACAAAAAACATGCGTTGCCATAAATATGGCGGACCCTGTAATGTTTAAGTTTTTAAGAACTAATAAGTATATTGTTATTCTGAGTATTATTTCTCTTGCTTTATATATAGTTACTTATTTATAATTAGTTATAAACTTATTAATAAATAATTATGAAACCAATAAATAATTAATAGTTGATAATTAATGGATTAATAATAATTAATAATCTAAAAAATGAGAATTTTTACAATTTTGACAACTCGCTTAGTTTTGAAGCTGCCCTATTTTAGTAAAAAGTAGTTTACCACTCTTTTGCGGGGTTGTAACTTGTCTGTCATTGAGTTACATGACTAACGCATGTCAATCATCAATGTAATTTTCCACATAATTTGTAATTCATTTATTTGTAATTGCCATGTAATTTTGTGCTGTAAAATTTGCCACTAATGCATATTTTTAATAGCTGATAAAATAATGTGCCACCAACTTATATATTTTGTAGAAAATGGAACACTTTTCCAATTTATGAGCAATAGCAAAAATGAGCCAATTAGCTAATATATAAGTAATACCGGTATACTGTAAAACCGAGTGAATTGGACCACTGATGTTGTGACTTGGACCATTTTTAGTGCTTTCTTTTTTGTGATACAAATAGGCTCATAGTGAATATCTAGGTATTGCATTTGTTGGTTATCTCATGGTACTTCGAGAGCCATCAACACAATTTTTTAAAGGCAAGAACATTTTGACTGGTATAGGGTTTTATTTTCTCAAATATCAAAACAGTCCAAGTCTCCCCATTTTATGGTACAATAGGTTTAAGAAATTCATCTTGACTTGTCACAATTCGAATTCAACTGTTTCTTACTGACTAGATACCCACATATGATAAAGTTTAAGCTGAATTATCTAAGTATTCAAATTTTCAGCAACTTGATCAATTCCCAATATTATATCAAGAAGAAAAGAGACAAGCTGTTATCTGGTAAATTCTATCACATTTTTTAAATCTGAGGATGGATCTTTAAAATCCAGAAGGCAATTTAGGTCTGTACTCTTAAGACCAAAGAACTTGTATCAAAAATGATGTGGATTCATCCAACTTCAATTGCTCTGGATGAAAACATATATAAATGATATCATTGATGTTTGTCGTTGGAAGTATGTACGTATGCAAAAATAGTTGCACTTGTATCGTTTTCTCTAGTTGATTATCTTTTGATTTTGTTGAGGGTAAAGTTTGTGTATTACCAATGTTTTTATTTTAGTGATATTAATTGCAGGTACTGTTCTTAATAATGAAGTGAAGTTACTATGGAAGAAAGTTTCTCTCATGAGAACTCTGCTGGTTTAAATGCAGTTGACAGTTTTATCATACAAAGACTTGACTCAGGGGATATCATTTACAGTAATCCAAATGCAAAGTTTAAGGTAAGTCTAGAAAATTTTTTTCCATCTACCAAAATCCTAATATACTCGCAATGTGGCTTATACCTGCAATATATATATATATATATATTAGTGTAGGCTGGCAGAATTTCTTCTCTTAAACAAGTTTTGTTAAAGACCAGAGAATTAATGAAATGAATGTTGTACATTTGAAACGTCGTTAAATATTAAAAATGTCTATCGGTAATTTAATTTTCAATCTTCCAACACCTACGAAGAATTTAGTACGACTCATTGAAAAAACTAACAAGAAGTTGGTAAATATATATATATATATACACACACACATTTCAAAAATTTATTCCTTATCTCATTTTATTTATGTTGTATAAATGATCAGAAGAACATATAATGACGTAAAGGAAAATTGGGAAAAAATTAAAAAATTACAGATAACATCTTTTATCTTTTTAACATTGTAACTAGTGTTTTCTTTTGAAATTTAGTTATTTGTAGTTAGTGCTTTTTGTGCTCCTGTTGAAATAATTTCTGAAATATTGACAATTAGCTGTTACCAAAATTTTATAATAAAGAGCAATACTACTAATTTGGTAATACATTTTTCTAGCTTGTTGGTCCATATGTTATGGGCGGTAAGCTTGGAGAAGGCAGCTATGCAAAAGTGAAGGAGTGTCAACATTCCGAGACCTTGGAACGATGTGCTGTTAAAATCTTGAAAGAGAAGACTCTGCGCAAGATTCCTCATGGAAAAGAAAACGTCATAAGGGAGATCAAACTTTTAAGAAACCTACACCATAAAAATGTTGTTAAACTTCATGATGTTATTTATAATGAAGAGAAAGGGAAGGTTAGCTTGATAGATACCGGTATCTGTATGTTATATTCTCACTGTAGTTTAACTTGTTAAAGAGAGGTTAAACTACTATCAAATTTGTTTTACATTGATGTATTGTTGGGTTTTGCATATTAAACTATTTAAAAATTTCATTTGCAATAAAAATTTCAAGAAATTCTTGAAATTTAACACTTCATCACTTTGTTATTGTAATAAATAAATCAAAATAATATTATTCACATGTGACATTTGTGTCATTCCAATAACTGCCTCAAACTTATTAATCATTGTCAAGTTCACAAACATTTTATTTTTTTCAGACTTACATGATGATGGAGTATTGTGTTGTGGGGCTGCAGGAATTGCTGGAGAAATCCCCTGAAAACAAATTCCCAGTTTGGCAGGCGCAGGGGTGAGTGTGCATGAATTTTTCCATTGTACAGAATTGCAGGTCATTTGATTGTGTCTCAGCTCTATGAACAACTATGAAATGAATCACTACTGCATCTTGTTTGCCTTTGCTAAAAATGTACGTATATGAAACGAGTCCTGAGTCCTAGGCTCTTTTAGCTGCCAAGTGGTAACTGAGCAGTGAAGTGGTGTCATTGCTTTGAGAATAATTTTTAATAATTTGCATGCTTGGTCTGCAGTTTTGAGAGTAATATAGGTAAGTAATCTCTATCAAAAGACAATGAATAGTTCAGCTTCTGCATATTCCTATTTGAAGGATAACAAAGTGTCGTTACTAAAAAAAATATTGATCACTTGTTGTGGGATATTCCTGCAGCTTTAAAAGTTCAGGGGTCAATAGTCATTACCTAAAAATTCTTTCTAAAGTAATAAAAGAGTCTGTAATTAAATAATGTATTCTCTATCTCTAATCCAGCCTCCTTAATCTTAAAACATTTCAACGTTGTAACATATGCTCATGCTTGTTGTACATTCACTCTAATTCAATCTACTGAGTCTGTTTGATGAACATCTCATACCATTCCCTTCATAAGCCATGAGGTCAGAGTTGCTTCAGCATGCTGCAATCCAGCATCATATTACTTTCTTGTTGCAGATTTTTCCTGCAGTTGATTGAAGGTCTGGAGTATCTACACAGTCGTGGTGTCATTCACAAAGATGTCAAACCAGGCAACCTGCTTCTTAGCTGTGACAAAACCCTGAAAATCACAGATTTTGGAGTAGCAGAGGTCAGTTTTTAATGCAGAATTCCCAAATCTCGCCCCATGTTAGATAGGCATAAGCTTTGTGGGTGAATTCATTTCAAGTATGGAGTAGGTATTTGCCTTCATCCCACAATAGCAAATTTACTTCTCTCTGTTGATGCATAAATGAAATTAAATTTATTAATATAAGTGTATGATTAGCTGTTATTTGTATAATATTAATACTAAACTAATAAGTTTGTAATGTTATCAGGATATTTGTTTTATAATTATATTTTAAATGTTGTCAATTAAATTTTGAATATTCATACAGGATTATTCAAAATTTACAGAATTGCATTCCCTTAGTAATACCTGAAATGTGTTAAGATTCATGTTGCCTATTTCTTATATAATATGTTGGTTCAAAAAAGAAATGGAAATCCTTTTATTATAAAAAGTTGAAATTTTGTGTCCTTTTTTATTTTTAACACGTTTTTCTTAGCTTAGCTTCGCGTTTGTTTGTTTATTTGTTTATTTGTTTGTTTGTTTGTTTGTTTGTTGTTAACATTGACAACGAAAATTAGCCCACTTTTGATTGTTCTAGAGATCTGAAATTCGGCATGCAGGCTATTTTCGCCTAACAATTTCAGATACAATCATAAAAACTAGTAATTAGAGACCAAAATTAGTTTAATTGAGTAAAGTATATATATAGTATATGTAAATAGTATGACGTGCGGGCGCTGACGTTATAGACGAGCAGGCGCTAACGCTGCGTATCATCGATACGTACGTCAAGTCATACTTAATCAAGTCTTAGTTAAATTTCCAAAATTTAAGTGTTGTGTGCTTTTCGCTTTAATCATAAATCTGCCAGACACACGTTTTTTTGGGGTGAACCATAATTTATTTTCTACTTTTTAGTCCACAAGAAAAACGTGATTTTTTTAAAAAGTTTTTTTTAAGTATTTTATTACATTTTTAGTTCATAAATGAAGATTGTATTACTCCACTGAGTGAAATGAGTATCTACCACTCATGAGACCCTGTCAGACTAATTCCAAACATGCTGAGGCTAATATTGGCAGAACATGCATGATACTGTTTGATATTGTGTTTTGCATTTTCTTATTCACATTGAACTACTTGCCAATCAGAAATTGGCTAAGCTTGGAACATAATTTGATACTGCAGCCTTTTATACATTTTAATATCCATATCATTCTTTCAGGTAGTATCAATATTAATATTTTTCTCTTCAGCAAGTTGACTTGCTTGTGGGCGATGACTTGATCACCAGCAGTCAAGGGAGCCCAATGTTCCAGCCTCCTGAGGTGACAGGCGGCACTCTTGAACGCTTTCCTGGCTACAAACTTGATGTTTGGAGTGCGGGCATTACTTTGTGAGTGTCATCATTCTGTAATTATGAGTATCATCGTTCAGTAATGATATAGGTAGATGCTTAACTAATTGACCGTGTGTAAGGTTTATAGCAGGTGCTGGATTATCAAGAAATTTTAATTTCATATTCGTGGGATTTTTTTAAAATGCATACACTTTATTTTTCTTTCTTTTTTTTTCTTTTGCATAATGAGCTACAATTGCTCTTCTTGGTGCCAAAGTCTGTTATGCATACTATTATAATTAAAAATGCATTTTATAAGTGCAAAGTCATATACCTATTGATTCATATTATTTTGTAATACCTGACGTGACTATGTTGTGGATTTCTTATTTATATTTGTTGCCTAACTCTGTTCAAACTATGCAGTGAATGATTAATTTTATGCATGCTTTACATAAATGACAAATAGGTCTTCCGAAGCTTGAATTATAACAAAAAAAAAGGTAGATATAACTTTAAAACATTAACTGTAGAAAAGTTACTGCTTATTTATAAGCATAAATGAAACGAATTTGATTAACGCTACACCTGGTCATTTTCAGGTACAATTTAACAAGTGGCAAGTATCCATTTAATGGGTCTAGTATATTCCGCATTATTGAGAGCGTTGGTCGTGATCCGCTGGTCATTCCTTCTGAGCTGGACTCAAACCTCTCCTCGCTCCTCCAGCTCATGCTGGTCAAAGATCCTTTCAAGAGAATATCCTTGCAAGAAGTTAAGAAGCAAAGGTAATTTTGTTTTACATTAGAGTTTACCAAAACGCCCATGATAATTCTTTTTTCTTAAGACATAGAATTAATGCTATTGATTCACCCGAAACCCATCTAATTACTATGTACAATTTATTCAATTACTAAGGTAACTTCATTTTTTCTGAAATATGGGTAATTCCTACGAGTTCAGCCTTTTAGGCAGTATATAATTCACTGAATATAATTTCTGCAGGAAAAACTGATTTTCAAACATTATTTCACAGTGTAGGTTATTTGGTACCTATATAGTTTAATGATCAATGCATAGGTATTAATTGTACTGGTTGCTTTAAAAAGTGACTAATTTTTTCATGGCAAATTGGCTCACTAGGAAATGATTTGAATAGACACTGTAGCAGAATGTTCTGAAGTGGTGAGTTCTTGAAGTTGTGGGTGGCTATTAGTAAAGTGCTCTGATACCTTTACTTTTATAGACATTTTGTCTGCTTGTTTGCCATGTGTTGCATTTTTAACACAAAGTAGTAAATCCATAATATTGGTTTTTAACCTAATATATGTTATGCATGTATAATTTCTTGGAAGGTAGGTCAATGTGAAAGCTTTAATTATTAAATATAAGCTGTAAATGGTAAATATCAGTTGTGTAACTATGCTGATAATGTTCAGGTGGGTGATGCAGAAGCTCCAACCTTTACGAGGAGATGAGGAGGGCGTGTCGTTGTGGGAGCGTCAGGGAGTGGCTGATCCTCACTCCTCTTCTGTCATCCCATTCCTCGAGTGCCATCACTTCCCTGAAGAGTCCATTCCTTACATCACTGAGCACGAGAGGAACAGTGAGTGCTGTGCCCACAGTGTCATTCCTTACATCACTGAGCACGAGAGGAACAGTGAGTGCTGTGCACACAGTGTCATTCCTTATATCACTGAGCACGAGAGGAACAGTGAGTGCTGTGCACACAGTGTCCACCTAGAACGCGTTTCATTCTCTCTTGTAGCTGTACTCTCAACAATAGTTAATATTTCGTATCTACTTTAGATATTCTCTGACGGCTTACTAAGCTAAACCCACCAATCTTTTGACGATAATTCGGCCGCTATGTTTACTGAAGCGTGTTTTGATAGTGCAGCTCTAGGAGACAACTTTGGTATTGTGAATCACTGACTGCACTTCTGTTAATCTGATGATCAATACATTTTCTTTGCATTTTCAATTCCAAAAATAGGTTTTTGGGAAGAGCAGTAGCTGCAAAGCAGTTACTGAAACACATAATGGACTGTAGAAAGTTATTCATTTTGGAGAGAGCGCTGTTAATTGAAATTAAGTCCAATGGTGCATATAATACATATAATTTAGATTTACATTCTTGTACTTGCCACAGATTGTCATTATGCAGTCGGGCGCGATTAAAACTTTAGCATCAAATAATGACAATTTACCGCCTTTTAACGTTAAAATGTTGTACAAATGTTTTTTTCAGTTAAATTTGGCGTATCTGCTGACCGAAGTTGATCCATTGCTTCCTTTTCAAAATGCTAATTCAAGATATTTTCTAAACCTGATAAGTGCTGTTTATGTTTTTTATATTCCCCAGTGAACGAGTCAAACACGCCTTACTTCAAGACAAGCTGTCAAATGAGTCCACCGCCCAACGTCAAAAAGAAACGGCACGAAGGCTCCTCTTGCATCAGCTTCCAGACGATCTCAAGCTGCATCCAGTCGTGACGAAATTCCCGAGTACCTGACATCTTTATGTGGCTCTTTGCATTCAAGCAATAATGCAACAAACACAGCTCCTCTGACAAGGACACCATCTATGGAGGAGTTTTGATTGTTCATCAAGATGGGCTACAGACATTGTTGTATTTTTTCTTGACTTTGCATATTATTTCTTTATTCTGCCACGCAATGTGTAGAATTTTCTGACTACTGGTCTTTGGTGTAGTGCAATAGCGTAAGCTATTTATTCGTCAAACCTATTATGCTAGAGTGATGATAATTGCCTTTCGACAAACTATGAAGGTCCTCAAGTGCTATCGTCTCTTTATTTTTTTTAACACAATGAAGAGCTTGTTTTTGTCAGGATATGAAACTAACTAGTCTTGTGAGATGCTTCAGTTAGGACTGAAGTGTAACGAGCATGAAGGTGTATATCTATAAATGTTTCTTTACCGTAATGCTTGTGCTGAAGGTGCCTTGCCGCTCTTTCAATTTCTTGTTCTACTTTCCTTTGAAAAACCACTGTATCGTCAAAAATTATTTGTGAATGTAGAAATCAACCGTGCACAATGTCGATTCGGTAAGTACACCGTTAGATCTCGATGATTTTCTTTCATATAAGATGCTAGTGAGTTTTTGACATATGCAGGAGACCTTTTGCGGTCATTCAATGAATGACTAGAATTTAGTTTGATGCGTCTGCAAGATATTCTTATTATACCAGGCATGTAGATGTTCGATAAAATTGAATGTCCCTCAGTTTCTTATAACAAAACGTTTTATGAAAATAAACAAATTAATGACATTGGTTGCTAGTAGCTAAATTGATTGATTTAATTGAGTTATGTGATATTTGGGTAATGTCCTCCATAAAGCACTTAAAAGTGATGTACCTGATTTCCAGTCTTGTGACTAATCCTAAAGTCTTACTCTGAAATCTGTGTCACTTTTTTTCGCTGGTGGTTTCGAATCGCTGTTTTACGCTTGAATTGGTTCGCTGTATTTATGTTTTATGCTATTTTTAAGGTGCTAGGATCCAGGCCAACTGATGACGGTGTTTTGATAGTTAATTGTACCTGTTCTCTGAGGTTGACCATTGTTCTCCTCTTTTGTTGGATAGAGTAATTCCCCCCAAATATTTACCTTTTCAGAAGAAACCTTAAAATGGTGTTGTGGTATTTGCCTCCTTATTCATGCTTAGATCCCCTAGATATCACGTGCTTACGGCTTGTTTTGGGCACCTCTCACATATAGTTGATGAAACACGCGGCGACGAAACCTCTCACATCCAAGGCGCCGCTGACTAAGTTGCGCTACCATAAGAGCAGGCTGACGTCCGCCCTGTATCTCAATGCATTCCCATATCAGGTCATTTCACACAGGAGTCTTACATGGATCTGTAATTTGACCTCTCTTCAACCACTTTATCTCCGAATTACCAGTACCAGTCTAAATTGACTCATAACCGCATACGGCCACTCTGTCTTCGTGGCCTTCCCGAGACTCGAAGCCGAGGATTCAGATTTACTAAGTTTCTGTTGGGCTAAGCTCCCCGGTCCACCGCCCTGAAACTGACCATTAACACCCGTCACGCGTTATCCGTCACGCCTTTACACCTGGTAGTCCTTCACTCGCACTAACGTCCTTTCGCCGCAATCTGTAACGACATCATCAACCGGGGAAAAGCTCTAAAAATACTGGAAGTCACTTGCGACTACCATGACACGTTCTCCCCTCACGTCAGGGTTTTGGCCACAGAGGCGACGGAAACCCTACGCATTCTAAATGTTCTCGTAGGAACCGCTGGGGTTTATCAAAGAACGATGTCTATGCCTCCTACCGGACCATCACGCACCCAATACTTGATTACGCAGTCCCCATGGTTCCCATTAGCCTCTCGCTCTACCGTTTCAGGCATTCAAACTTGAGAAATTAGTCCTGAGGTTAGTCACGGGATGCCTCAAAATGGCTCCTATTAACCGCCTCCTTATTGAGAAAGACGCGCTTTTCCTGGCAGCCAACATGGCCCTTGCATGCGCACAGTTATTTCGTATCGTCACTACTCCCCTTGGAGACCGAACTATGAAGATCCCCCTTAGGTCGGAATTCGGAAGCCTTCTTGTGCCTCCTAACGAATGGCATCTTGTTAATAGACTATCGCGGGAAGGCGATGCTGACTCTTCGCTCCAAGAAAAGTATTGCTTCTTCATAGGCGATCAGTGATAGGGAATGTGTACATTTAGCATCAGCCGCTCGCCAAGCGCCGACTGTCTATTCAGCCCTTCTATCCCATGATCTTCGGCGTCTCCTCACTATGGGACAGTCCCGTGGAGGGAGCAGCCTTCTTTGCCCCACTTCCTGCGTTTGCCATCTCTCCTTTCTTCCAGTCTCCACCTTAGCCTCCCCTCGCCATGCACGCACGACGTAGGCTCAAGAAAGGCCAGGAGACGTTCGCGAATTTAGCCGGTCTTCACCATGTGACTTGTTTCAAATAATTTTGTATGCTAAATGCCTCGTATAAATGACCTAATTATCTATTGTACTCATAGTCCTTTTCTCAAATTTTACTTGGGCTTTAATCCACGAAATACCACTTAGAATAGAAGTGTCGGCATTGAAGAAAATAGGCCCATGGCCTGTTGCGGATTCTTGAATTTTTTGTGACTTGATTCACAAGGGATCCGGCCTTTGGAACCCGATCTTTCCATAACTGACGATTGATTGAGATAGCTGCTGAACCTATTGCCTGGTCCGTAATTTGCTAGGCATTTTAACACTGAACATATGCTCCTGCATAGCTTCGTCTAGTCTGTTTTTGAAGGCGTTCTTACTCGGAGCGTCAATGATGCTATCAGGGAGGCTGTTCCACTTGTCGGTGACTCGAAGCGAGAAGAAATGTTGTCGCATGGATGTGTTACAACGCAGTTTTTTTAGTTTATAGCTGTGACCCTTGGTGACTGGTGTTGGTTCTTGTTTCAAATTCTAGTAATCCTTCTGAGACCTTGTATAAGCCTTGAGTATACTTGTATGCTTCAATGAGGTCCTCACGCAGACGTCGATAACTGAGGCTTGGAAGCTTCATAATCTTTCCTCATAGGACTTGCCTTTCAAGCCCGGAACTATCCTTATTGCGCGTCTTCGAACACTCTATTAAATTTTTGTCCTTTTCAAATTTTGGTGACCACACGACGTTTCCAAACTCTAGCTAGGTTCGGGCGCACGAGGTACGACATCAACAAACAACTGCTTCATCGCTTCTGCATCTAGGAACTCGAAAGAGCGTCTGATCAGTTCAAGTCGTTTATTGGCTTTATTAACTTGACCCTTGACCTTCAATATGCTTGGAAAATTTCAACTCATTGTCGATATTAACTCCTAAATCTTTTTCCATTGTCGACTACTCGACTTCGACATCATCACTCTCTCCTTGCAACCGTGCATAGTGGCAAAGCAGAGAGTTTTTTAGACTCTCCCTAAAGTTCATTTTTGAGTCCTATAAGTAGACCAGCAAAGTATCATGGATACCAGCATTATCATACATAAGAATTTGGTTTGAATCTTGAGTAAATGAGGAAATTAAAAATGAACTTATTCTAAAAAATCTCTGGTTTGTCACTATGCAACCGTGTCTTCTTATACTGTAATCTTGCTGTTCAATATTCTTGTCAAGAATAAAGCACGCAAAGCAAGAATAAACACACGCATCAATTACAAACATAACCGTGTCCCTGAGAAATCACCATGACTCAGCCACATTCATGTCCTTAATCACTTGGTCTAGAATATTGCCATATTGGGAGTCTGTTTACATCTAAAATGGGTTGGTTAGGCAACGTGCTGGACTAAGAAGGAGTCTCTTACTGACTCCATGAAGAAGGATGCTGGGTGATTCTCTTCCCTTGGAGAGGATCCATGTATCCAGTCCAGCTCTGGATGATTGAAATCACCAACGATCAACGTGTGTGACCTACGGAAAGTCATGCTTGGTAAAAGACTGTTTAGTACTTTGTCGTTATCAGAAGAACTGTTTGGTGATCTATAAACGACGCCTATGAGAAGGCGGGTCGCCTGCCGACGACCACCACTGCCATCTCAGGGACCATCATGATTATGTAATGTAATGGACCATCATGATTACAGGCTTCCGGAACGTAGCCTTCAACACTTCTGGACAATCATATCTAGGCCGTGCGTTGAAGTTTTGAACCAGCCCTCGGTTAAACGGCCACTCGTCGAAGAATGATACATTTCGGAACATAACTATGCTATCTGAAACCTAACCTCAGATGTGGTGAACGTAAAATTACGTAATTTAACGATGCCCGGAAATCATATTCGATCCGCGGCCTAGTGGTGCACGGCAGGTTTTATGCAAGGCCGGAGGAGGACAAAGGCAAGTGGTTCACGGCTGATTGGTGGATGTCCGGAGAGATCCAAGGCGTTCGATTCAGAGATTATTGGTTATTGGTACACACAGTTGGTAGTGTACAGCTGTGCTCCCGAGGAGGCTATCTTGAAGACGAACTATGACTAATATCGTAATCGTAAAGCGCAGTTAGTTGAGTAATGCAAGTAGGTTTAATTGGATAAATTTGTCACGATAATATTGTATTTTGCCTATAAAAAATCATTGCTATCAAGTCGCTTTCGTAAATTGGATTCGCGTTTAGTTTTTCATTGTTCGTTTCAACATTAAAATGGAAGCTTACGCGCGCTGACATTACCGATTCGACACTTCAGCGAACTCGCGTGCGAACTGGCCTGCGAACTCGAATGCAAACCTAACTTCATTTTCAACTGTGGCACTCATAAATCCTTCAATAATGAACGGATTTTATTCAAATTTTAAATATAAGTAGATAATATCAGTATTTGCGGGCGGAATTTTTTCAGATTTTTACATCAATAACTTTTTTGTTAATACGGAAAACCTAACTTCATTTTCAACTGTGGCACTCATAACTCCTTCAATTATGAACGGATTTTATTCAAATTTAGAATATAAGTAGATAATATCAGTATTTTGTCTGTCTCTTATACACA